CTGGCGCCATGGTGCTCTTGCCGCCGGCGGCACCGGGCTGCCGCCGCGGAGAGACGCGGCAGCGAGCGGCACATGCGAGCGGTGTCGGGACACGGTGGGGAAGTGTTCGTTACAGACGACGGAAGAAGATAAATTCAATTAAATCCTGACGGTGACTCAGTCGCCGCTGCCACATCTGGATCCATGCCGCCGCCGCCGCCGCCGCTGCGTCTGTCGCTGTCGATCCCCGAGAACACCTCCGCTTCACGCGTTACATCCACACGTACGCGCGGTCTGATGGTCCTAACGAGACACGGATGTGAAGAAGATCCAAGAGCAGCAGCTCCATCGTTGAGGCGGTGACACCTGGAAGAAGACGCACAGCCTGTGTGTGTGTGTTTGTGTTTGTGTGTGTGTGTGTGTGTTCGCTCCTCCTGCAGCTTCTCCTCTTGTAGCTCCTCCTGCACCTCCGTGGTTAAAGGGCGTTTATCAGGAACAACAGCGGCAGTGGAGGAGCAGAGTCTGGAGAGAGAGAGAGAGACACACACACACAGAGGGAGAGAGAGATCCTTGGGCTCCAGTTTGACGTCACTGTCCCATCCGTGCATGTGTGCGAGTGCGTGTTCTTCTTGTGTCATCCCACGCTGCTGCTTCTTCCTCATCTTTTCTTTTCGGTTCCCTTTTCTCACAGTGGAAACTTCACGGCCTGGACCAGGTGCTTGAAGTCCTTGTAAGTTCTGGAAGATCCAATCACAGTTAGGGTTGGTTTCTGTTCACCAATTACTGCTGAGCTTGTTCAGCAGCAGACATGAGGAAACAACAGCAAATATATTTAGCCAAAAAGTAACCAAGAATTTACCATGATTTTAGTTCAGACCAAAGTCCATGGAGAAAATCAGAGATTTTAGTTCAGACCAAAGTCCATGGAGAAAATCAGAGATTTTAGTTCAGACCAAAGTCCATGGAGAAAATCAGAGATTTTAGTTCAGACCAAAGTCCATGGAGAAAATCAGAGATTTTAGTTTCCTGAGACACAGGAGCTGCCGGTGTTTTGCTGCCTCCTGTGCTCAGTTTATATGTGGCTGAGGTAAATTTGAACAAAGGCAACAGGATTGGGAAACATTTTCCAAATCCACTTCAGTGTGTGATCTAATTTGGTGTACACTATTATTTGTCTGTACTGTATTGTTAAAACACGTTTGTTAAAATATTGGGTTGATGAGATAGAATGTGTTTTGTGAATTTTGGCTGTTCAAACATTTCTGACTAGTGTTCGAGGCAGCAACGGCTCAACAACTGTGAACTAAAATCTCTGATTTTCTCCGTGGGACCTCTGTCATTGTCTGGTTCTCCTTTTCTTCTAGGAGAACTGTCTGAACTCAGAGGTGGTGGAGCAGATCTACAGGAGGAACCCCATCCTGCGCTTCAGCCACCACCCGCTGCACACACCCCTGCTGCCGCTGCCCTACGGGGACATCCACCTGAGCAGTGAGTCACAGGGAGGAGTTATGGAGCAGTTCAGTGACATTAAAATAATTGCCTGATTGATGCCAATTTAAAAAACGACTGCACTTGTGTCGACCGCGGGCTGAGGCACATTTCCTGGATCAGCTGAGTTCGTTGAAGGTTTTCAGACGTTTGGTTTCCCTGGGAATCGGATGAAAAACCACACACGTCTTCAGAGGAGACGCAGCAGATGAGCCGAGGGTAAAAATAGACTGAATAGCAATGAGGCAACTTTCCTCTCGCCTGGAGCTGTGTGTGAGTCAAAGTGGGGGGTTGTTCCTCCTCATGCTGCAGCTCTTCAAGGTTTAGGAGAATCACACTTCCTTCAGTCTAATCCAGACAGGCCTCCTCCTCCTCCTCCTCCTCCTCCTCCTCCTCCGACCAGGCTGAGAAGAAAGTGGGACATGATGCCATCACACATCTGCTGAGAAAGAGGACAAACAGGTCTCCCCCAGGATTTGGACCGGTTAATCAAAAACTGAAGGTGTTTTAATCAAACAGAGAAGAACCCCCCCCCCCCCCCGGTTCCTGGGACATGGTCTCTGCAGGTCGTTCTGATTGGTCCACGTCTGTTTACATGTTAGCCACGATCGTCTCGACCAGGTCGGACTTTGATACTGCAGTGCAGTCGTGAGACCGACGCTTGGTTCTGGACTCTTAGGACGGTCCATTTGTCTCTGGGGTGGACAGCCTGGGGGCAGAGGTTAAATATCAAGATGACTTTTAACCTTTGGTCCGATCTTCGAGTTCATCCTTGGCCTTTTTTCAACAGGTGGATGAGCTGGTGGTGGTGGTGGGGGGGGTGACCTTACCAATGCGGCCCTGTCCAAGGTCTGTGAACCAGATGTTTTCTTTTATAAAGCAAGTTGGTGCATTCTGGAGTTTGACGTCGTGAGGACGATCGTCAACTCAAGAAAAGAAAAGAAGGGGCGTGGCTCAGATCTGCACGCCTGCCTAAGACTATTGCACAGCGGGCTGTGTGTGTGTGTGTGTGTGTGATGAGTTATTTCAGAGCTGTAGCAGCTGATGCCTGTTAGCTGCTGCAGTTTCTCCTCTTATAAAAGCCCAGTGTGACGCTGCTGTTGAAGAGCAGCTGCTGACCATCACAGGCGTCAAACCTCCTGCAGCCGATTGATCCTGATTGATCACAGTTACCCACGATCAATCAGGGCCCATGTTGTCGTTCCTGAACGTGACGGAATCTTCCGTTACATTTTGTATCTTTCTGGACCAGACAGACCGGCGACAGCAGGTAGGGGTCAGTGTTTCTCACTGGTTTGTATCTGTGACTAATCCATATGATGGGATTATTAATCTGGAGATAAGACTCTCCACCAGTCTGAGTGAAAATGTCACGACTGTTCATCTGGACGATGTCTGGTAGAACGTGTGGAACCTGTGTCTTTTCCTGCATTTTAAATAATAAACAATCTACTGTATATATTCAGACCAAAGTCCATGGAGAAAATCAGAGATTTTAGCTCAGACCAAAGTCCATGGAGAAAATCAGAGATTTTAGTTCAGACCAAAGTTCATGGAGAAAATCAGAGATTTTAGCTCAGACCAAAGTCCATGGAGAAAATCAGAGATTTTAGCTCAGACCAAAGTCCATGGAGAAAATCAGAGATTTTAGCTCAGACCAAAGTCCATGGAGAAAATCAGAGATTTTAGTTCATTGAGACACAGCAGTTGTTATGACTTCAAATTTACCTCTACATTATTTTTTTTCTAGATGTACGTCAGTGACACCAGCCCCGACCTGAGCTGGAATCATTTCTCGATGAGTTTTTATGAAAGTGAAATAAGGATGTTGTCGTGTTTTTGTGGACATTTTAAAGGGGTTTATTACCTGCACTGTAACACCTGTGTGTGTTTGTGTGTGTGTGTGTGTGAAGGTTACAGCCGTGTCCTGCCTCCTCGTTGGCCAATGATCTCCTCGGACGTCGATAAACCCTGAGACGCGCAGGATCTTCTCGCTCAATTATTCATCACTAAAGTCTTTTGTAGCCTGTTAGTGGATCAATAGCTGCTGTAATCAGCTTTCCAATGAAGCGGAGTCACTCACCAAACACACACGCTACATTTACACACTCTGGATCGTTTCATCATGTCTGAGCCACGGGTTTGGCAACACGGGGCCTGGGCAGGGCCGTGACTCAGGACAAAGCTGGACTTTGGTTTATCAGCTGTGCGTTTTCTCTTCATGTCAAACAAAGTTTGACAAACCGCTCACTCTGACACAACAAACCTGATACAGAAAAATGTAGCTCAGTGACACAAACTGACCACAGGAGGCAGCAGAGGACCGTCAGGCCTGTGTCTTTCTGAGCTAAAATGACAGGTTTTCTCTGTGGACGTTGGTGAGTTGAGTTTTATATTTTAGGATCATTTATTCAGGTTTAGCTAATTAACCCCACTATAATTCATACATTAAAAACAGATGTGTGTTTGACTTTGAATTGAAGCTGTCCATCTAGATTTCCTGTTGTTCCTGCTGTTGTGTGTTTGCTGTGTTTGAGGTGGGGAGAGTGTGAGGGGTCGACAAACTTCAGCTTCCTGTTGGGAAAGTCTAACAGTGACATAAAGACTGAGCAGTGGAACTAAAAATAAACCCCAGTCAGAAGTTAACTGCACCAAGTGTTACCACGGTAACCGACATCGGAGTCAGCTTCATGACATGATTCCATGAAGTCTGGAATCAGGAGCTGCTGTTGTCACACCATGGTGCTTCCTTTTTAAATGCAGCCCCCCCCCCTCCTGCTGCCCCCCCCTCACCCTCTGACCTCCTGACCTTAAGTGTGCTGTAAGTGTAAAAGCCAGAGGTCATCAGTGTGTGATGAGGCCCGTCCGACTCTTCATGATGATGATGATGATGATGATGATGGTGATGATGATGATGATGATGATGATGGTGATGATGATGATGA